CGCTGCCACGGAAGCTGCTGCACAAGAAAATGCGTGAGTGGGGCTGGCGAGGCGGGCTGAGGCCACCCCAGTGCCATCTGGCACCCCAGCATCTGCGGCAGAGACGAATAGCGTAGCTGCTTGCAGATGAGGAGAAGAGGACGGCACCGCTGCCAGGCAGCAGAGCCAGGATTCGAACCCAAGTCTTTCGGTTGCCGCTACAGATTCCTGAATGCCACAGAGGTGTCCTGTAGTTACAGAGGCCTCTCAGATTCAGGGCTTCCCCCCTAGTCCTCTCCAGTCTTAGTAGCCCTGCATGCCTGAGTCAGGGACCCCATTCTGCTCAGGGTTGGGCCCAGGGGTCACTGTCTGCCTTGCTTTTCCCGGAACAGCTCGGAATACCTGGCCATTACATCCGAGAGCAAAGAGAACTGTACAGGCGTCCAGGTGGCTGAATAGCGCTGGTAAGGCTGATGAACCGCTCTGGGCACCGCCAGCCAGAAGGAGGGTTCAGGGACTGGGTCTCCAAGTCTCTACTTCTTACCCTGCAGGCCCTGGGCTTCACCTCAAGGAAGAGCCAGCCCTGATGGGTATCCTCCCCCGCAGTGGGGATCAGCCCCTGATGGGTACCCTCCCCCGCCTGTGGGGGGTCAGCCCCTGACGGGGACCCTCCCCCAGCAATGGGAGTCAGCCCATCGGTCTCCCCAGCCTCACAATCCTGCAGAGGAGCCACCTGGGTGGGAGCGGGCAGGGACTGATCCCACCTCACCCACCGCCTCCCGCCCACCCTCCCACCGCCATGCATGACGGGTGAAGCAATATGGCCGCCCCACCCTGCTTTTGCTGCCTGTTTGGGGGAGGGGGCGGTGAGGCGAGGGGGGCAAGCCCCGCCCCCTTCTTTTTGCTGATTTGCACATAGACCACTTCCCACACGCACTGCCAGGCCAGCCGGCTCCAGCCCTGCTCGATGGGGTCAAGAGGAGCTGGGACAGGGACAGTCGTGGCCAGGGGGTTCTGGGTTTCATCTCCCTTCCGCTTCCTCCGGCTGGACCTGGGGTTCCCTCTCCGTGACACCTCCTAGACCTGGTCCGCCCCCCCTCTCTCACCAGCCTTCAATTGTGGTCTCTCGGGAAGGGCCTCTTCGGCCTCCTCTCTTTACAGAAGTAGTTTTGTTCATGAAATAAAGATTCTTGGACTCGAGTCTCCAGTCTCTCATTAGCATCCCCAGCTCCCCCGGTCCCTGTCCCAAGGCCTTGGAGTGTCTTTTGGGAATCCTACTTCCCAACAAGCAGCAGGGCCCTGGCCACATTGGAGGCACTGAAGAAGGGCTTAGAGCTTGGTTAACAGTGTGACTCTGGGAGTCGTTATTTCCGTGGGTAGGAGTCAGGGCCGGAGTCCAGAAGGCGGCTTTGTGATCTGCAGGGACAGGCGACTGAACGTTGGGGTTTTGTGGAGCTTGCTATGCTCTGAGAATTCTGAGTAAAAGTTTTGGGGAGAGGGAGAGGGAGAGGGCAGTACAGTAAGACAGCAAGAAGGATGGACAGAGGCAGAGAGAGAGAGAGAGAGAGAGAGAGAGAGAGAGAGAGAGAGAGAGAGAGAGAGAGATTGCGGTAGCGGCAGAGACCCAACAGAGAAGGACGCAAGGAAGACAAGAGAGAGTCAGGCCCATCAGTCAGGCCCATCAGTCAGGCAGAACCAGTGTGGCCCCTGCATGAGAGAGGTGTCAGGCCTGTGGCTGGAGGAGGTGCAAGAGAGGGCAAGTAGGTGGCCTGCTGTGTGGGGACAGCTGTTGTGACTCAAATGCCAGCCCGGGCCATTGGGCAGGTGTAGAGGGCCTCCTGGGCAGTCTGGTGTTTATCTGGATCTGGGGTCTGACCTGAATGGCACTTGGCGGATGGTGGGACTGGATGCACTTGCGGCTAGCCACTTCCGGTCACTTGGCCTGCGCCTGGGCAATCAGTGTTGCCTTTTCAGGGCCAAGCCCCCCATCCCCCTATCAGGACTTTCCGGGCTCCAGAGGTCACTGGGCAGGCAGCACAGCGGCTGCCAAAACAAACCAGCCCCCGTGACTTGTAGGAAAGTGGCGGGGGAGGGGCTGGGCCCCGCTAGGGACAGGAAGGACTAGAGGCCCATGGCGGCATGGACTGGATCAGAGGAGGGCTGGGTATCGGCATGGAAGCAAATGCGAATGGAGGACTACATGGCCACAAGCATGGTGGACCTAGCGAAGCCAGAACTTTGTAGCTCATTCCTCCAGTTAGGAATCCCATCCTCTGGGCCTCGGAGCACACCTGAATACCCCTGCAAGTGGGAGGACAGGCTGGTGGTTGAGCCTACCCGGTTCAACCCCTGCAGGCCCCGCCCCATTAGCCAGGTGGCCTCTGTGGCAGCCAGTCCTGGGGTCCGCCCTTCCCCGCCCCGTCTCCGCCTCCCACCCAGCCCCCTCCTCCTCAGGTGAGGCGGCAGGCTCAGCAGGCCCCAAGCTGCTGGCGGCCGCTGCCACCCCTGCCTCCCGCGCTGCCCGCGGCTGTGGGGACGCCATGCGCCTCCCCAGGCCCGGAGACTAACCCCAAACCTGCACCATCTCCTGCGGACCCCAGGGTAAGGCACAGAATACGGAGTCCCTTGTCCACCCCCTCCCACCAATCTGATGCCCACCAGCCCATAGATGGGATGCCAGGAACCCCAGATCACCTCCACCCTTCTTTCCCTGCCAGTTCAGACATCCGAGGACTCCCCAAAGTTTTTCAACCTTCAAGTCCCCTGAAAGTTCAGCCTCGGTCCTCCAGGCTCTGCCTTGCCACTCCAGGTGTCCCCCTGGTGGCTGGTCATACATGGCCACCACTGACCCCGGCCCAACCTCTGCCCTTGCATGCTCTGTGCCCAGCTCAGGGCCAGCTGCTCCCTGGATGAGAGCCTGGGACTGGGGGCGCCAGGACAGAGCCAAACCAGGCTCCCCCAGGCCGTGCCTCCTTGTTCCTGTCCCCAGGTTCCGCCCCAGCCCAACAGGTCAAGCTGGGAATCATTAACAAGAGTCCCTGACATGGCGCAGAAGGAGGGTGAGTCCCCCTGTCCCCAAAACCCAGCTTCGGGGGCCCTACCGAGCACCCATCTTCTGCTTTGTCTCCCAACCTGTACCCAGCCCCCTGTCTTGGGGTCTTTCTATCAGACTCAAGACCACCCCTGGCCCCAGTCTTGTCTATCTAATTAACTATTAGCCAGCCTTCTGTGTGTCTGTCTCCTGACGACCCCATATGAACTTCCTGGTGCCTTAGTTTCCCCTCATGTCCCAGGAATTTCTCAGCTAACCAACATGTGTCGTCTTTGGGGTGCTGAGGTGTAGGGCTTCTGCCGTTGTCATCTCGGTTAAGGGTATAGAGTCAGTCAGGCTGCTTCTGTTGGCTTTTGCTGTGTGATCTTGGACAGGTAGCAGGTGGTCTCTGGGACACCCTTCCCTGCAGCCAAGTAGGGACGGGTAATAATAACTCCCTCCAGGAGGTTGTTGGGATCATGGAACACACAGGCAACAGCTTGGGACTCGGGGCGTGAGATACGTGTCATAACCCCGAGACGTTCTGAAGGGGGGTCAGTCGCTGTGGGGACCCAGGAACCCAAGGACCCAAGACCCCCTACAGTTTCAGGCATTCCTTCTCCCTCCTGGCTTTGTGGGCAAAAGAGCAGAAGGAGGACTTTGGACTTGACCTGGATGGGTAGAGAGGAGAGAGGCAGAGAAGCCACCTGAGGGGTGACTGAGACGCTCACACTGGAGGCCAGCCTCTCTTGTTACTTTGTCTGTACTTGGGGACTAGATGGAGACTCCAATCGGGGTGGCCTTCTCCCCTTCCCCCAGCCCTCACCCCTGCCTGTCTTTGGGGTGCCAGACTAGCTGAGTTTAGTCCCAGGCACTTTCTAACTGTGTGATGTCACGTCCTCTCTGGGTGTCTGTTTCAAACCTCTGTAAGATGGAAACGGTCGCTGTGTGGTATGAAGACGTGACTGACGCCAATGTAGGGAGCAGTAAGCATGTGGGCCTGGGGGTAAGCACGGTGTCAGGCGAGCAATGGTCCACTGTGAACTCAGACTCCCCTTTGCTTTGTACAGCGTGACCAGATGAGTGAGAGAGCCAGGCCCCTTTGGGGCTCTTTTTTTCCTAGAGATTGAAGAGAGGTAACTGGGCTAGGGCTACGGGTAAGAAAACAGGAGAGAATGGCTGGCTGGATGCTGGGGCTGTCTACAAAGGGAAGATGTGGCGCATGCTCTCTGCATCCCCAAGCAGCCTGCTGTGCTCTGGAAGGGCTGCAGCGGGAAAGGTGAAGGGTTGGTGGTGGCATGGACTGAAGGGATTCAAAGGACAGTGAAGTGAGTGGTGTGTGGTCCCAAGAGCCTCCACCGGGGCAGCTGCTGGTGTTTATGAGACCGCTGATGGCTGGGGATGTGTGCTCCAGGCGTTCGGCACGGCGGCTGGGGCCCTGGAATGAGCAGAGATGAAGTGTGAAATGTGACTCAAAGGATGATCAGGGAGGAGGACATGCCTGGCAGGGGAAGATGGGGCAGAGTGATCAGTACAGGTGCGTGCTGGAGCTGGTGGTGTCTTTGGCTGTCGAACCTCAGAATAGTCCTCGGCAGAGTGGGGGTCTCTCCATAAGGTAGTGCTGGAGGTGGCCCAAGCCCTTTCTATTTTTCTTTCTACCCCTGAAATAGTGAGGACCAAAGGCAGGCTCTCATATATGATAGGCAAATCTCTACTACTGAACCATGTCCCCAGCCCCTCACTGGGGGATTCTAGACAGGGGCTCTACCACTGAGCCATATCACTGCCCCCCACTGGGGGATTCTAGGCAGGGGCTCTACCACTGAGCCACACCCCAGCTCCTCACAGAAGGATTCTAGGCAGGGGCTCTACCACTGAGCCACACCCCAGCTCCTCACAGAAGGATTCTAGGCAGGGGCTCTACCACTGAGCCACACCCCAGCCCCTCACTGGGGGATTCTAGGCAAGGGCTCTACTACTGAGCCATATCCTCAGTATTTTTTCCTCTTCTTTTTGTTTTGATACTTTGATACTAAATGTAGGCCAGGCTGGCCTCAAATTTAACAACCCTTCTGCTTCAGCCTCCTGAAAAATGGGATGATGGGTTCTAATCAACAGTCTGTGAGTTCCATGGTTAGGACACCCTGTGCAAGTTCTCTTAGATCTTTGATAATGACCAATGTCTGTCTGAGGCTTTCAAGGGACATAGGGCTCTGAACTCTAAAAACCATGCTTATTTGATGGGGGCTGGAAATACTGGATCCAGAGCACCAAGGAGGCTGGGGGGGGGATGTTCTGGATAGACAAAGGACAGTTTGGGTTCATATTACATTTCTCAGGTCTCTGTATAGAGGGGCCAATTAGGTGCTATGCATATACTATGCATGCGGGGCTTGGAACTGGCAAGATGGAGCAGGAAGGAAGTATTGAGCAGCTGAACGAAGGGCCTGGGATGAAGGTGAGAAGACAGGGCTGCTGAGGGAAGGGGAGGAGGGCCTGGGATGAGGGTGAGGAGACAGGGCTGCTGTGGGGAGGGGAGGAGGGCCTGGGATGA